AAAATGTGTGGTTACAATGCAGACACCCAGACTAAAAGTGTAGAAGCCAAATCTTAGATAAAATGTGTGGTTACAATGATTTGGCTGCTACACTTACATCGCCATGGTTGAGCTCACTGCCGGTCTGCATCCTATACAGTGTTTGGTCAACTGCTGCCATGCCCACGTACGTTCCAGGATGACCACTAACAGTCACTTCCACAGACTCATTTGTCGTGTTGGTCTTCGTCAAGCTCACAGTGAACTGCACAATAACAACATTTATAGGTAACATCACATAATTAACGAACATTCTCTTAACACTGCATTCCATCATAAATAACATATTATTACGAAGTGTGTTAAATACTGGTATAAGATACTGTGATTCCGTAACCGTTGTCCGCTATTAGTGTAATTTCAAGAGCGTAAAATGTTGTATGTAAATATAAGTAGTGTGACGATTGTGCTTGTAACTTATATACAATAAATTAGTGAAAATTATAAAAAATGTTACATAATTTTGTCTGGAATGTATATGAAATGCTTTCTTAGCCGATATTATACAGTAGTAAATATTCTTTGTATACGTCTGCCATTGTTACTATTGTTATGCAACAGGCCATGGTTTATGATTTAAAACTTTGTTTTATTGTTTTTAACACCCAGTTCGCGAATTAATGAGACCGAATTCAGAGGATTAGATAGGCTAGAAAGGAGTGTCAGTATTTCCGGTATTCAAGCTAGAACCTTAAAAACGTGCTTCGATAAAGAGGTCGAACTGTTAACTTATAAAAAAAAAACAACACTTCACACCAAAACGAGCTCGCTATTAACGGTGTTCGTCCAAGATGAAGTTGGCCGGACTGTATTGCTCTTACACAAAATAGTAGAAGTATTCATGTTCAGCAAGTATCGCACTTGGTTACATTATAGGGGCAAGCTCTACCGACAGAACTCGCAAAAACCGCAGAGAAAACGATTTTATAGAACTGAGGACCCAGATCTTGTATGACGCAACATGTGCCACCACTACCGTATTTTATGGGGATTTTGGATTAAGATACTGGTTTTATCTCCTCAAAGCCTGGAAACTAATGCGAGTTCGGCTACGCTGGTGGACAATTCAGATTCTAGACATTGAAATAAGTTCAAATCTCTATTCAGAATTTTTAAAAAAAGAGCGTATCAGAAAGTTTGTTTGAGAATAAACCCACGAAACATGTCTCCCTGACTTTAAGACTGGGTGTTAAGCCCAAAACTACACAATAAGCTGTTTGCACTGTGCTCACCGCGGTTATTCAATCTTGACTTTTAGTGTTACAAACCCTCCAGGTTGAGCCTTGGGAGCAACTTAAAAACACTGATTTTGTCAAATTCTGAAAAGTTATTCAATTAACCTTATTAAGGTTATCCTAACAACAGTTTTAAGCAAACAGTCTCAAGCTCAGATCTAACTGAAAGTAAGTTGAACATTTCTTTCCTCCAAAGATACTATTTAACAATAACCTTCAAAAACGTATCTTTACCCAGTTAATGAAATCTTATTTAGTTTCTCCTAAACATACATATTTAATATATAGGCATCAAATATAATATTGAAAATTGCCTTATGTTGATAAAAAGAATAATTAGTCAGAGAACACAATGATTTCACTTATAACCAAATCGAAATCAGAGCGAAAACATATCCATACTTTTTACAGTATGACATAGCACTTAATACAATCGGACTTAAGCATCGAAAACTTGCAATATGTGGTAAGCTAATTGGTAACAGTTCCTGCATGAAACTTTCGTATACCAGACGAGTGCTCTACCAACTGAACTAAAAGTTTGACGCAGTATCATTTGCTAGTAAAGCACTTTTTTACAACACAAGCTACATTCTTCTTTCCTTATAAACAAGATCCGTCCTCGAGTCTTATCTCATGATCGTGGTATGACCTTTGGTTAGGAGCCAGTTCTTTCTTGTGGAATTTCAAGTTTTTCGTTTCCTGCGTGCAGGATTCGGATCCGAGGTTTTTTTTAACATCACACGAGTGCTCTACGGAGTGAACTAAAGGGTTAACTAACTAACATTTTTAAGTAAAGCACTTTTTAAGATCTCAAACAAACCTTTCTAACTCTTTCAAAATAAAAAAGGGGGTTTATGGCTTGTGTAAGAGAAGTTTAGGCAGAAAAGAATGTACTATATTGGAGATATTTGTGGACTGTACTGCCTTAACAGTTTTTGGTTGATGCAGATCTGTGCTAACAGTTCAAAACGTCGTCCAAAAACTTTTTAATACAATCCATAAAAGTCTCCAATCAAGTGTTTATTGCTGTCTAGTGTTTCCACTGAGATTTAGCACTGGTTTTCTTAAGTTGTCTCTACTTATATATATATATATATACAATGAACCAACTGCTCCTTCATAGGAGTGTGTAATGTACTTAGTGCATATTGTTTTTTTTTCATTTGCCTTAAATAATGCAATAGTTCCGAAATATTTCTATTTTTACATAATTTACATCCTACATCCAATTTTCTCTCTGTATACAGCGTTCGCTGTTAAGCACAAAGAGTGAAAAATCGGCTTAATCATAATACACAAGTACTGTCTACATACAAAATGGCCTAAAAAGGATGTTTTCATCATCATGATATTTTGTTTAGTTCTTTATGAACGTATGTATATGAGTATGCGTTTATATCAAGCAAAATATACATAAGCTTTTGTAAACCACGAAATAAAATAAAAACAAGAGTGGAGCAGTTACTGAAAAAGGGGTGAAATTTGAATTTCATTTTTTGCATTTGAGTGTTTATATTGTGGGAATACGACTCTAAAATCCATGTTGGGACGAAAATGTTTTGGGGAAATATAAAAAACTAAAATTCCAGATCTTAACGTTAACCAAAGTTTCAAAGATACAATTGCATTAACCACATGAGTAGATAAGAATGCATAGGATTGTCGCCATTAAGTTTTAAGAAAACATAAATCTTACATTGTTCCTGGAAAATCCATCTACTGGAAACGTCAAGCTATCAGCAACAACCACGCCCCCTCGGGCAATATGGTAAATAACAATAGTAGCAGTAGGCGCCATTTCTGGAGACAGAGCTACTGCAAATGTTTTAATGCTCGAAGTCATTTCTTCCTGCCCAGCTAACAGAATAGTTCCCTTGGAAATAACCTGTTCATACATGGGGAATGGAAAAGGTGTTTAGAAACGGAAAAACCCTCACAAAATACGAGACGTGCTTAGTAAAACAGCTTCAAATAACATTAACACAAAACCAAAAATGCTCATCTATATTGATGATGTATAAATCAAGACTTCTTTCGCTACTGTTGATATATACATATTTCAATAGATGACATAGCACGTAATAAACAAGAAACAAATTAGAACAATTCGAATAAAATTTGTATTACATTTGTGTATTTTATTGAAAATAACACATGCATTGTAAAAAAAAAATCAAAAATTCAAACTTACCACGTATGAGAAATTTCCTACAAAATAATCCGCCCTAACGTGGAGAATTATGAATTCACCGACCTGTTTTGTGAAAATGAAAAATAGAAACATATATTACTTCATACCATAACACTCAAAGTTTTAGCTGAAGTAACATGGAAGTTGCAGAAAATTAGTACAATCGAATCTTTATATTTTGTTACATTTTTTTCAGGCTATCTGAGCAGAGGGAACAGACATAAGTAGAGTATTTCAAACAACCAAATAGATCGTGGGAACATACCAATACAAAACCGAATAAAGGTACTTTGTTTTAAACAACGAAGAAACTTAGGAAAACAGTAATACATAATTGCTAAACAGTCCGAAAAAATGTTTAGAAACGCAATAATATACACTTTACAAATAGAACGTTATTTAGATAAACAAATACAAAAGGAAACCCAATAATGCATTTGATTCCACATATAAAGCTCCTTAGACAGCAATAAAATGTCAGTAATTTAACAATACACAAATTAATACATCAATTTTTCACCTTTGGGTGTTTAGTGCTGGTAACCACCTGAAGATGACGTTCAGTTGGACAGTACGAGGCATAAACAAGAAGATTAGCTTTGGCCATTTCTCCTGTCTCATCTTTGTAACGGGCCTGCAATTAAAAAAAAATATACTTCCTTGCTAAAAAAGGGGTTTACAAAACAAAAAATACATTAAGAGTTAATATTTGTTTACATTGTCAAAGTTTTTATTACATCGCAAAGTTTATCGCTTCAGAGTCGTTCTTAAAGATTTGTTGATAAATATTTTCAGTCAATGCTGAAACAGTTAAACCTTTACTTACTCATCAGTTCGACAATTATTCATTAATATCTTTACCTCTTGTACTGTGTTAGCTCTGTTAAAATATATTTTATACATATTTTTTTTTGTTTTAAATCTTATGTTTCAAAAGGTGTAAAGAAGAGGGTGAGACAGCAAACACTGAATCACTGGAAGTTTATTTCCCACTACCTGCTTGAGCTTATTACGTTGTATGTTATCCAAACTCATTTATGTAATATTTGAAATATGTTAACTAAAATAAACATATTAGTTCGTAACTGAATTCAATGGAACGTTGTAATGAAAAAGGAAAACCTCGCTAAAGTGTGGTCTCGGAATAATGTCAGAATCACCTCATTATACCAAAGCTTTGCTAAAGAGGTTCTAACATAATTTATAGCAGGAAACTTAACATTTGGGAGACTTTTAATAAAGCTAATAAAAAATACTAAGAAGGTTTGGTTTAA